CACCACGTTACTGCCAGCTTCTCCTGGGCCCGTGGGAGCCTTGATCCTTACAGCCAGATCTTTCTGGGAGGAGATAACAAGGAAGCATAGTGTTGTTGTTAACTCAAAATTCTTGGGTAAAACTCTAACGGAAACAAAGAAGGTAAATAAGTTTAGTTCTAGGTGTTTCTAGAAAATCAGGAGACAATGCTGAACAGTGATTTCAGAAGGAAAAGGGCAGAAAAACTAACATGGCCAAGCCAGTGGCATGTGCAGATCCAAGCTGGCCCTTTACCCATGAAACACCCCTTGGTCTTCTGATGACAAGTACTATACATACCCTGAAAGACAAGGCTGAAAAAGGCTAAATAACCATCTCTGGTTGCAGAGCCAATAGAAGAGTTAATATTAAAAACCAGGTTTGGTCCTGACCAGTATGGCTCAGCTGAGTAGAGCATTTTCCTGTAACCAAAATGTTGCAGGTTCAATCACTGGTCTAGGTACCTACAATTCTTGGTCAGGGCGCATGCAGGAAGCAATAAATCAATGTTACTCTCTCAAATAGATGTTTCTCTCTCCCTTCCTTTCTCCCTTCCTATATCTCTAAAAGCAATGAAAAAATATCCTCAGGTAAGGACTGATAAAAAACAAAACAAAACAAAACAAAACAAAAAAAAACAGGTCTGTCTGGCTCCAAAGTTCATGCTCTTTCCGCTACACTAAGCTGCCAGACTGTGCGGACTGAAAACTCCAGGCACTGCCCACAGAAATGTCTGCATGTGCTCGGGATGGGATCCATTCCTCACCGCACAGGCTTCCACAGGGTGGCCCAATGCCGGTATTACAAGTAACAAGAATTGTGTCAACTGTTCTCCCCTTTGATGTCAGGTAACAAACCTGAAAAAATACTTTCTCTTCCTCTAGTTCTCCATCCAACTCCACTCCTGGAATATGCACCATTTGACAAGCAATATGTGCAGTGACACAATCCAATAAAAACAAAATGAAGAAAACAACCTCATTTCTCACTACTTTCATCCTTACCTTATTTAAATTGTGAACACTGTAGTTACGGCTCATACGTGGCCTGTCTAGCAACTCATTTTATGGTGAAATATGCCCCTGTGTGACTTGCATTTAAAATGGTCTGACTTGGTTTCAATGGCCTGGGTTAAGAATCAGGGTGAAAGTTTTGTGGGAAACTCGAAAGGACCTCTGAACTTCCCTCAAGCCTCTCTTTCTCACAATAGATGACCCATGTTGTGAGGTATTCTTTTTTTAGGAAACAAAATATCTGCCCCAGAAACTATCTGAATTTTGCCAAGAGGAGAAAAAAAAATCTCTTCTAGTCTATAATATAATGTAGTAACATGAGAAACGTCCATATGATCTAAAGTCCAAAACAAAGCAGGACATAAAATTGTGTGAATAGTATGAACTCGAACACCTCAAAAAGGTCAGTCCAGAGGGAGGTAACTTAGAATGTTAATAGTGGTTACTTTGACTGATAGGATTATGCACACTTACTGTGTCTTTTTTAATTATTAGTAATAAGCATGTATAGCTTTTAAAAAAAGTCAAATTAAATCATAAACATAATAAATATTGTTTTCCCAGAAAGAGGACTCAATATTATTCAGTGTTTCCTCGCCACTGAAAGCATTATATAAACTTTGACTAATACCAGTCACAAAGACTATTCAAGAAAAAAAAAGTTAAATATTAATCTTGTTGATGAATATAGATATCAAAATTCTAAGTAAAATATCAATAAATCAAACCCACATATAGAAAAATACAACATGAACCTCAGGTAGAATTTACCTCAGAAATGAAGATTAGAAAGTCTATCAGTGAAATCCACTACCACAAGACAAATTAAAACAGTAAAAATATGCATTGAAATAAATATTAAAAAGCACATTATAAAACTCAACATGCAAATTTAACATTTAAAAAATGCTTCCTGAAAATTGATAAATGAAGGGGAATTAATAAAGAATCTTTAGTAAAAACTTAAACATCACACTTACAGGTAATTTAGAAGCATTTCCATTAGTTTCAGGACAAGATAGGGATACCTACTATCATTAAATATTGTATTGACAGACCTAACCAATGCAGTAAGACATGAAAAAGACGTACTTAAGGATTGCAGAGGAGGACAGAAACTTACTTACAGGGTTATATATTGCCTCCATAGAAAATCAAAGAGTTGAAGAAAGTATTAGTAAGAGTTTAGCAAAGCAACTGTATTCAAGACTAAAGATCAATATATAAACTGTTTATTTTCTTTTAAAATTCTACTTGTTTTGGCCCAGTTACCAATATCTGTTTAATGGAATATTGACCATCCCATAGCCAAAACTGAAGAATAAGAAATAAGTTAACCCTATTACCAGCACATTCTCTCTCTTGCTTCAGTATATGAGTGTGTTCATGGTGCCTCGGGCCAGACACATTTATCAAAAGAATAAAGGCCTGGCTGGTATGGCTCAGTGGATTGAGCATCAGCTTGTGAACCCAAGGGTCGCTGGTTTGATTCCCAGTTAGGGCACATTCCTGGATTGCAGGTCAGGGTCCCAGTAGGGGGCACATGAGAGGCAACCACACATTGATATTTCTCTCCTTCTTTCTCCATTCCCCACTCTAAAAATAAATAAACAAAATCTAAAAAAAAAAAAGATGGTTTATCACTGTTGCATAATTACAAACAATTTTTAAAATCTTGCTCTGGGACAAATCAGCTATATACTTTTTATAATCCCTTGGCTCTACAATGGTATAAGAGAAAACAATGTAAGATGATGATGATGATGATGATGATAAAGATAAGGAAGACAAAGAAGAGGAGTGGGGTACAAATGGAATGAGAAATAGAGAAAAGGAGTGAGAGAAGAGAAAAGAAGACAGATAATAGAAAAGGAAGGGGATGAGAAGAGGTAAGGAGAGAATGAGGGAAGGGAAAAGGGGGAAAGGAGGAACAAGCTGAACTTTGTTGAGTCTTTAACATATGGCAAGTACTAGACTGAGTGTTTTCTTATTTCAATTAATCTTCATAGTGAGGCTTTGAGGTCTATGATAGTATATTTTCATTCTATAGGAGAGAAAACTGAGGCTCAGAGAGTGAAGTAATATTCTAAAGTCATATAGCTAGGAAATGTAGTATAGCGAGAATTTGACTGAGATTGACCTGCCCAGACTCATGGTATTTGCCACTAACTAGAGGACTCTCCTTGCATATATATTGTGCTGGCTTTAGAGCTTCTTAGACTATGAAGATGAGAAGGATATAAAAAGGTCACCTTCACATTCCCATTCCAAATCCTCAACTAAGCCAATGTCCTGAAATCCTAAATCCTCTCTTTAGAATACTTCTGGTTTTGCATGTTAAAATTAAGAATGAAAAGATGTGCACTAAGATACAATTTTTAATGCATTAAGCATTCAAGAGCACAAGTTTAGTGGAAAGGTTAAATTTGAAGAAAAAATATAATTTGTTAGTTTGCACTGAAAAAAGTATTTAAATTCTAGTACATGCCAGGATTTGCAATTTTTTTCCATGCAGCTCTTCTCCAAAAACCTGTTCGCTCACCTACTTGCTTTTCTTCTATTATGCTTAGACCACAATGCATAAAGAACAAGGTTTACATTAAGTTTTAGGGAATAAAATATACTGCTTCAAAAATATTTGTGCTTCAAATCAAGATCTAAAGCAAAATTTATAGTCCTTCCTGGGGTTTTGGCTGTCCAAAAGTGGCATATGTATTACATTTATGTCCCTTGTTCCCAGAGAATGTCAGACCAATGCCATCACAAAACATGACAGGGCAGACACAGTGAAGTTGCAAACAAATTACTGCCTATACAAAGCAACCTGGGGCATCTGGGTTTGCAAGCCCATAGTGGCAGATTTCAAGACCTGAAATAGAGCTCTATCAATTCTCCTCCATGCCGCTGAGAAGACAGGGGAGGAAAAGAACTGAAACCACAGGAGAAAACACACACACACACACACACACACACACACACACACACTCACACACAGGGAGAAGTTGCTTGAATCCACTTACAACAGGGAGACACTGAAAGGCATGGTCGTAAAGCAACAGGACCAAATTCTTCAGGAAACATAAGAAGGGATAGAGTTATTATCACACAATGCATGCCAGTCTTCATTATCAGACATTTCTGTGCCTTCCCTGTGGCAGCACTTTCTAAGTGTTGGGAGTGAAAGGGTGAACAAGAAGTCTAGGTCTTAAGCAGTAAACAGCAGAGTTGACAAAGAAAAACACAGGAAATTTTCAATAAATTGAGATGCTAACAAAGTGCTACTGAAGCAAAACAAATGAGCAACTAACTCAATTTAGGGCATAAAGAGAGCCCCACCCCTGCCTCAGAAGATACAACCTAAGCTCAAACCTGAACAATAAGGAGGAGTACACCTAGAAAAAATGGAGAGAGAGGAAAGGATTTCAGGCTGAATGAACAAGAGTCTGTGATTCTCAAAGTCTGGTGTCTGAACCAAAGGCATCAGCATCATCTGGGAACTTGTTATAAATGCAAAGTTTCAGACCCCATCTTGGACCTAGGGAACCCAAAACTGGTATGAGATTGGCAATGTGATTTAACAAGTCTTCCAGGTGACTGATGAAGCTGGAGTTTTGAGAAGCACTGGTCTATGCAAAGGTCAGCTTCAATAGAATGGAAGGTAAACAGGGTTAAAAAGGGGCAGGAGGGGTGGGGTGTGCTTAGGCAGAGATGTTGCTGGAGGGATGGCAAGAAGGTTTATCAGGAAGGGCTTCATATGTTATGAAAAGAGTTTTGGATTTTACCCAGAGAATAATGGAGAATCATTAAAATATTATACTATGAATGAAAAAGGAAAACACCCAATAATGCTGGTGACTTTTTAAAAAAGTAAGCAACCACAAAGATAGATGATATATCATTGCACAGGCAAAAAATCATTGTCCTGTCAGACAAGCAGCCACAAAGAAAAAGAACACAGTCAGCCCTACCTTTCTTTCTGGAGTCTTTCTTGGCGCTGGTTTTCACAGCTACTTGAAGTTCTGTCTCAGTTGACATCCTACTAAATCCTTAGTCCACTGCACACAGATCCAGGGCCTCGGCCAGGCTCATGGAGGACTCCTCTCCAAGAGAACGACTCCTCCCTTCAGAAATGACTCCCGGAGCTGCACATTTCATTCACTCCTTCCAAGTGCTGCAAATCAAGGGAAGAGAATAATCACCCCTTTGAAGTTAAAATCAGGGGGGAAATAAACTTCCAAACAGACAAAACAAGAAAGTCTTGGTCTCTGTGTACGAACTGCTCGCATGAGTTCATTGGGCCCCTCACTGACAGGGTTCACAGCCAAGGGAAGGAGAGGCCTAGCTGCAAAACTGTTCCTCCAACTAGGAACTCAGAATAGATCTTCAGAACTCTGGGTTCTCAAGAAGAGCAAAACCCAAATCTTTGTTTTCCATGTTTCTTTATTTCAAACACCAGATGCCACCCAGAAAATATAGCCAAGGCACATTTCCTGGGCAGCCCCGTGCAGGCATTTCCAACAGTGGGGCACCCATCCATCAGCCAAGCTTGATCAGAGCCTGGGCAGCTAAAGCAGATCATGAAGAAGTGACCTGTGGTCTGCCCCTCACTGGCCAGCATCAGAGGGGACATGGAGGTGACATACAATTGGGTTCCAAGGGTAAGATGACAAATGGGACTGAGAAACTTTCAGTAAGCCAATTTTTATGTTAGCTTTTCCCCAAGGTGTAAGAGCAGACAAGCATTTAATGTGGAGAGGAAGAGAGGAGGGGAGGAGAGGGTAGGAGAGGGACAGAAGGGGAGGGGAGGAGTGGGGAGGGGAGAGGAAGGGAAGTGAGAGGAAGGGAAGGGAGAGGAGGGGAGGGGAGAAGAAGGGAGGGGAGAGGAAGGTGGGGAGCTGAGGGGGGAGGGAGAGGAGAGGAGGGTAGAGGAAGGGACAGGAAGGCAGAGGAGGGTAGAGGAAAGGAGGGGAGGGAAGAGGAGAGGAGGGGAGAGAAGACAAAAAAGAAAAGAGGCAGGCAAACACACATTTCATTCATTTTTTCTTTAATATATATGCATCACACACTGCTGGGTACTATTAAGTTCAGACACTTTGCTGGGAAGAGATAATAATGATAATACAACCACTTCAATTACAGCTAGTATTTACTATGCACTTACTATGTACTATGCCCTCAGCTACTGCTTCACATACATTATCTCATTTGATTTCATTAAATTGAATGAATGTATTCCCTGTGTCAAGTCAACACTCTTTCCCAGGGACTACCTGACAGTTATATCTGAGAGTTTAGTTGAAAATAAGCATTTCATTAGTTCTCCAATTTTAAATAATATTAAGATAATATTATACTATAGCTTAAGCTGTCAAGGCTCTGATCAAGTTTGGCTGATCAGGCTACTAGAAATGGATCTTCAATCTGTGCAGCCAATTCTCAGCTCCTCGCATAGATCTAAGGACTGTTTAATCTGAAAAGGCTGTCCTTAAATGCCAGTTTCAGCTCAAAAAGGATAATGGCCCAAACCCCTTAATCATGGTGGCTTAACTAGATGTCTAATATAAAAGCCATGTAAAAATTACACTAACATTTAAAGGGGGAAATATCTACCTTCTCCAAAGATACCTGTTTTTTTTTGTTTTTTAACAAGCTGTTGTTTTTTTTTAAGACACTAACCCTGAATGAAAGTTGCCCGGACTAGAGGATACATCTAAGGAAAATGAAAAATTATTTTCTCAGAATGGGGTCCATAAAACTATTCATGGGCAATGAGGACTTTTCTTGCCACTGTCGTACCATCTATCTGCACCACGCTACTAGCCTAACCTCTCCCATCCCCAAAAAGAACATTCCATGAGAGACAACAGTCGTAAATGGACATAATTAACTTTAATAGTAATACCATTTTGTCATAACAGCTATCTACTGAAGCCAGGCAACCATGCTGGCCATGACTGCCATGTCAAAGCCTGATCCCTGTGCTCCAAGAAGCTCAGTCCAGCAGAGATGGCAGTCATGTGAAGGACTGCAATACACAGGACCAGAAGGAAAACGGGCAAGTACTTAGCACTCTGGGGCACAAAGGACCAACTGTACACCTTTGCTTGGAAGAGTCAACAGAGCTTCACAGAGCAGAAGCCCTACCCTATGAGATCCTGAACAGAGATGCTTCTGCCCAGTGGATGAAGGAAAAGGACCAATGGATTCTCAATAAATGCATATAAAATGAATGAATGGTTGTTTCAGGCAGAAGGACCAGTATGTACCAGGAGGCTTGAAATCAACAACAAAACTAATGAAAGGAATCATAAGTCCAGTAGGGAGGTGATGTACTTTTCCATCTTTCCCAATTTTCTCCTGTGTTACCCCTCCGTAGAATATCTCAAGTCTACATCGGCATTCTATTGACACCCCCTCAAGCGTCATTTCAAAGACTTATCTCAGGCAGAGAGATGTTCTCATCCCTCTGTTAAATGGAATCTCTCCCTATTTATGCTATGATCTTATGTTTGCCCAGCTTTATAGTTTGAGCCACCTACAAGCAATGTGATACTGAGGAAGTTATTCAACCATTCTTTGCCTCAGTTTCTCTGTGTAACAGGGATAACAATATCAATTTCATAAAGCTGCTGTGCAAATTTAAGTGTGATCACATATGTAACACACTTGAAAGAGTGCCTGGCACATTACCTGGCAAGACTTGGTAAATATTAGGCAGTAACAGTTTCCAATATTAGTTGATGAAGATCACGTGGCTGGTATATGCCCACAGTCCATATTATCATCACTTTCCTTTTATAGAAGAGGAAACTAAGGTTAAATCTGCTTTCTAAGGACAAACTGCAGGAAATAACAGAATCTAAGTTAGTCCCATCATGCTGGCCTTGCACACAGTAGGTACCTAATCCAAAAATACAAAATAAGTTGAAATATATGGATTTTACACAATTTCAGGAAAGGCAAACTCCAACACTGTTTTCCATATTCCTTATTTTGAAGTTCTAGATGCCATCAGAAAAATATAGCAGAGGCATGTTTCCTGAGCAGCCCCGAGGTGGCATTTGAACAGTGGGGCTGACCCATCCGTCAGCCAAGTATGACCAGAGCCATGAAAGTCACTGTATAAACTGGGCTGGCTGTGGGCCCCTCCCTCCTCTTCAGCTTTGCAAGCCACAATACAGCACCTGTCCCTATTCCACGGGTATCTCCAGCGTCACTTGTTTGACAAAATGTGATTGTGTTTAAGTGTTATATGCATTACTTGTGATTTTCTGAAGTACATCCCTGTATCATAATGAAAGGAAACCAGCACATTTTGAATAAAAACTTAAATAAAGAAGCTGCAGTACAAAGAATGTACCACAGCCAGGGCCCTGGCATCCCCTTTTAATTTTCCAAAAGCCAGAGGTTGAGCAAATGCTGTGAAGTTCTGTGAAATTCGTTTCTTTGTAATTAAGGAGATTAAAGTCCTCTAGGGCCAGAAACCATGTGACAACTCAAATCATTTTTCCCCAGCAAAAGCTGTGAAACCCTATCAGTTAAGTTCAGGCTCGCCTAGAATTTTGAAATGCTTCAATAATGTTTCCTTGCCCCACACAATCTGCAGTAATTTAATATTCCTGAAGTGTGTCAGGTTTTTTATAATGAGCTCTTCAAATCTAAATGTGAATTATGTAACATTCCACTACAGACATTTCATCTAGTGAACTGCTTCTAAATGTAAAATCCATGTTCAGTGATTGGGGGTGGGGAAAACACCAAACCACAAGCAGAGAAAACAGATAGGACTTTAAAAATAAAAGTACAAAGGTTTCAGCAGCTATAACAGAACCAGCGCACACTAGAACACAAATTTGGATGCTCTCTTCCCCAACCACCCCTCCCCTCATATGATTCTATAGTTAAAAAGCTAATATTTGTGAGGGCCCATGATTTGTCAAGTAGTACACTTATCAACTTCTCATATATTATTCAATCCTTCAACCACTTGAAAGTTAGATATTATCTTCATTTGACAAATGAGGAAAGTGAGGCACAAGCCAGTTTCGTAGCCTATCCATGGTCACATGACTCCTATGAAGCACAAGGCAGGGTGGAAGTCACTCTTATTCCTGACTTCAGTCAAAACCCTCCCACATGTCCACCAGCTGGTGGACAAACAAACAAATGTGTGGTGTATCTGTACAATAGAGCACCACTCGGCCAAAGAGAAGAATGAAGCACTGACACAGGCCCTAACATGGAGGGACCTCAAGAATAGCCTGCAAAGTGAAAGACATTATACACAAAACATCACATGCTGCATGACTGCATTTACATGAAATATCCAAAATTGATAAATCCAGAGTGACAGAAAACAGACCGGTGGTTGCCAGGTGCTGGGGGAAGTAGGAGAGGAGGAGTCACTGCTTACTGGTTACAGGACCTCCTTTGAGGGTAATGCAGATGGTTTGGAACTGGACAGAGGTGATGGTTGCACAACACCATGATAGTACAAAACACCACTGAAGGGTAAACACTGAAATGGTTAATGTTATGCTATGTGAATTTCACCTGAATTTAAAAAAATACCAAAAGACCCTTCCCACCAAGTCTTACACCCTGATTTAGTTAAGCCTCATGTGATATGCTAAGAATATTACAGTTTCCAATCTAAATTTAGGGACAACCCAGCTGTAAAAACAGATGAAAAGGAGGCAGTCTTCCCAAAACCATGACTCTGGGTTTGAGTGGCAGCGACTGCATAGCTTATAGGGTGCATGCCACTACCTCCATGTTTGGTGGTTTGGGACATTTTAACCAGGTTCATCCAACCTGTCAAGCACCAAAAACAGACCATTTATCAACATGGCACAAAGGTTTGCAACAGTGCAGAAGGGGAGCCTCAGTTTTCTTACCAGTAACATGGGATGATTTGGAAGGTTGGTGAACGTTGGGTAATTCAGAAACCTAGCTCAATCTACAGCATGCCACCTTTCATGTAAGAAAGGAAGAGACATAATTCTACTTATCTTTACAAAAAGAAACACAGGCCAAACAAACCAGAAAAGAGTGAAGCTGGGTTTGTACATGGGGAGATCCTGGGTGGTGAAGTGACTGAGTGACTAGGTAGAAGGTAGAAGGATACGGCCACTGCCCAGAGCATAGCTTTTTGTATAATGCCACATTTGG